AAATATATATATATCAAAATATTAATATAATGATTACAGGACTGCAATAATTTGTGTCTTTTATATCTGTCTGTAGTTTGGCTTTAACATTTCTATAAGGAACTTGCATATAGCTGGGTTCTGTCACTTTAAAGTGAACCTGCACTCTGCCTACTTAGGGTACAGTCACTCTCTTCCCGCCACCCTGTTTGCCCACCAGATCCAGATATAAGCCCAGAACAGCATTGGCTTGGAAGCTACACGTCGATTTTGCTGTAGCGGGTGAATGGGACATCAGGGGAGTGTAAAGTCTGGGTTTGCTTTAAGACGCGGCGGTGATGTTTGAATAGAGATGGATAGTAAGCATTCTTTTCAGAATATAATATCTATTGTGCTCCAGGGAGGTGAGGAGACGGAACAGTTCCCATCGCTGGAGTGGCAAACAAATGTAGAAAATATTATTATTTGGGATTATAAAGAGAGCAGACGTCGTACATCAGCACAGACTCATTTAAAATGTGTAACAGCAACAAGGATTTATCACATGGGAAGATAAGTAAATCTTTTGTGACTGGGCGCAAACAACAGAAATCTCAAATTGAATCATCTTTTACCTTCTGTTTTGTAAATCTTACTGTGAGAGGAATTTATGTTCTTAAAGGGAAACTGGAATCCCTATGGCAGCTGCTGTGCGTCCCAAGGGGTTGTAATGGTAGTGATCTCTAGCAGCCTGGCGTGTCCCCAGTCTGTTACTACACCTGTGGCAATATATTCACAGTCTATAACCACATCTATAGTAGCATGTCCCAATTCTATAGCCACACCGATAGCAGTACGTGCTCACTATATACCCTCAAGTGCAGCATATCCCCAGTCGTTGACCATCTCCTGCAGCATGTCCCTTATCTCTGACTATCTCTGACCATCTACTGCAGTATGTTACCAGTCTCTGTCCAGCTCCTGTAACATGTCCTCAGTCTCTGAGCCTCACCTGTAGCATGTTCCCAGTCTCTTGCCATTTTTTTTATATGTCCCCAATCTCTGTCCATCTCCTGTAGCATTTCCCCAGTGTTTGACCATCACCCATAGTATGTTCCCAGTCTCTGGCCATCTCCTATAATATCTCCCCAATCACTATCCATCTCCTGTAGCATTTCCCCAATCTCTGACCATCTCCTGTAGCATTTCCCCAATCTCTGACCATCTCCTGTAGCATTTCCCCAATCTCTGACCATCTCCTGTAGCATTTCCCCAGTCTTTGACTATCATCTGTAGCATGTTCCCAGTCTCTGGCCATCTCCTATAATATGTCCCCAATCTCTGTCCATCTCCTGTAGCATGTCCCCAGTCTCTGGCCATCTCCTATAATATGTCCCCAATCTCTGGCCATCTCCTGTAGCATGTCCCCAGTCTCTGACCATCACCCATAGTATGTCCCCAGTCTCTGGCCATCTCCTATAATATGTCCCCAGTCTCTGGCCATCTCCTATAATATGTCCCCAATCTCTGGCCATCTCTTGTAGCATGTCCCCAGTCTCTGGCCATCTCCTATAATATGTCCCCAATCTCTGTCCATCTCCTGTACCATGTCCCCAATCTCTGTCCATCTCCTGTACCATGTCCCCAATCTCTGTCCATCTCCTGTAACATGTCCCCAGTCCCTGGCCATCTCCTATAAAATGTACCCAATCTTTGACCATCTCTTGTAGCATGCTCCCAGTCTCTGGCCATCATCTTCTACTGTATAATATGTCCCCAATCTTTGACCATTTCCTGTAGCATGTCCCCAGTCTCTGACAATTGTCTGTAGCATTATATATAATAAAAAAAATGAATCCCCCCAACCCCCGCGGGATGTCAGAGGCCACAGTGGAGGTCCCCAATATCTAGTAAGTTGAACAAACCTGTTTTAAAGAAATATGTGAAATCGGTCAACTAGAAGTGAAATTGTGTGACCCACAGAAAGACTTGAAACCATAGAGAAACCCCAGTCGTTCTCAACAGGGACAGCAAAGTAAATTATACACAACCTCCACAATTTGTGTGTATAATTAGAAGGATGAGTTGCAAGGGAAACTGGAATCCCTATGGCAGCTGCTGTGCGTCCCAAGGGGTTGTAATGGTAGTGATCTCTAGCAGCCTGGCGTGTCCCCAGTCTGTTACTACACCTGTGGCAATATATTCACAGTCTATAACCACATCTATAGTAGCATGTCCCAATTCTATAGCCACACCGATAGCAGTACGTGCTCACTATATACCCTCAAGTGCAGCATATCCCCAGTCGTTGACCATCTCCTGCAGCATGTCCCTTATCTCTGACTATCTCTGACCATCTACTGCAGTATGTTACCAGTCTCTGTCCAGCTCCTGTAACATGTCCTCAGTCTCTGAGCCTCACCTGTAGCATGTTCCCAGTCTCTTGCCATTTTTTTTATATGTCCCCAATCTCTGTCCATCTCCTGTAGCATTTCCCCAGTGTTTGACCATCACCCATAGTATGTTCCCAGTCTCTGGCCCTCTCCTATCATATCTCCCCAATCACTATCCATCTCCTGTAGCATTTCCCCAATCTCTGACCATCTCCTGTAGCATTTCCCCAATCTCTGACCATCTCCTGTAGTATTTCCCCAATCTCTGACCATCTCCTGTAGCATTTCCCCAGTCTTTGACTATCATCTGTAGCATGTTCCCAGTCTCTGGCCATCTCCTATAATATGTCCCCAATCTCTGGCCATCTCCTGTAGCATGTCCCCAGTCTCTGACCATCACCCATAGTATGTCCCCAGTCTCTGGCCATCTCCTATAATATGTCCCCAGTCTCTGGCCATCTCCTATAATATGTCCCCAATCTCTGGCCATCTCTTGTAGCATGTCCCCAGTCTCTGGCCATCTCCTATAATATGTCCCCAATCTCTGTCCATCTCCTGTACCATGTCCCCAATCTCTGTCCATCTCCTGTACCATGTCCCCAATCTCTGTCCATCTCCTGTAACATGTCCCCAGTCCCTGGCCATCTCCTATAAAATGTACCCAATCTTTGACCATCTCTTGTAGCATGCTCCCAGTCTCTGGCCATCATCTTCTACTGTATAATATGTCCCCAATCTTTGACCATTTCCTGTAGCATGTCCCCAGTCTCTGACAATTGTCTGTAGCATTATATATAATAAAAAAAATGAATCCCCCCAACCCCCGCGGGATGTCAGAGGCCACAGTGGAGGTCCCCAATATCTAGTAAGTTGAACAAACCTGTTTTAAAGAAATATGTGAAATCGGTCAACTAGAAGTGAAATTGTGTGACCCACAGAAAGACTTGAAACCATAGAGAAACCCCAGTCGTTCTCAACAGGGACAGCAAAGTAAATTATACACAACCTCCACAATTTGTGTGTATAATTAGAAGGATGAGTTGCCAGTTCTCCTCCAGACACAATCCTAGTTTGTCTAGATAACATA